TGTTGTTGTTGTTGTTGTTGTTGGTGGTGTAATCACAAATCCCAGCTAAGGCTAGGCACAGGAAATGATTGGCATTTTTTTCACAGAAAGGAGTAGTCTTGCGACATCATCCTACTGTTAGTAAGAGGACTTACTTGCACCAAAGAATCGGGACTCCAAAATCAATATGGACGTTTGTACCCCACTTGATGGAAGAACTCTTGAGTTATGTCCGGTGACCAACCTCAGGCACAAGGGACCAATCCACAGCTTGGGTCATGTGCAGGCATTGCTTTTGCTGGCACTGCACGCGGAACTGGGCAACGGGCGAGTGCTCCCATTCAGCCAGGGTCCTTGGCGGTTCAATCGGTATTTGAAAAGAAGTCGACTGCTATTGCCATCAAGCGCAGCTTGAGTAGTCCATGATTCCATGGGTTTTGTTTTAGGAGTCTACGGTCTGGGAGAGAGAGAGAGAGAGAGAGATTTGATTTTGCTTAGCAGGCTTTGCACATCTTGCCGGCACTTCCAATGGGATTTTGGTACATGGTGTTGCGCCACAAACGGGCAAACCGTATGGCTTCCAAGGCCATTACAACGAAGGTGGACTTGGTGCTATCCCCTTTGAAAAACTATTGTTGGGTAGTATTGGCAAAATAAAATGACATCGAGGTCAGCATGTTCACACCAATGATACCGCACCAGTGAACCTAGGAAGACCGCGGCAGACCGCTTTCTCGCCAGCTTGTCAGGTCGCTTGTGCAGATCCTGGCGTGCAGCAGGTGCGCTTGCGTGCGGAGTCGTACTCGTCCGGACGAGTGGCTGGGTGCGGGACACTTCCAAGTCCGATGGAAAAAGGAAGCGCCAACGAGATGCGATCTCCAGCAACGCCATGAATCTCAGAAGCACAGCGTCCAGGTGGGTGTGTCAAGTAGGGAGACCGACACCCGGCAACAATCCCCTGGAAGGTTCGGGAAGTAGTCCAGTCTACCAGTCTACCCAATCAGGGCACTGCCTGCTGTCTCTCTATGAACATTAAAATGCACACCACGTGTAAAAAGCTGTCCTGCGCTGCACAGAGAGTCAGTGAGGCAAGACGTGTCCCGCGCCCGCGCCGTGTTGTGTCCAGGTGCGCCGGACCAGCGATGGAAGTGGATCTGAGAAGCTGGAGATCGGCTACGTGGATGCTCAGGCGTTTCAGGGGAGGGTCCAGGGTGGAGAAAGGGGAAGTTTAGATGTTGGGAACGCCTCCCAGACACCGGCACATTTACATACATTTGGGGTGGTTTCAGGGGTCAATGTAGGTATACATAGAGTGTTTGGGCATGTTAGGGTGTGTGTCAGTGGTTGAGTAGCAGGCTTGTTGTATTTTGTGGTTCTACTATGTTCTACTTGCGAATAAGGCCACAGTGTCGTTGTTGGTTTAGGCTACAGGTCACCCAATTGTAGCTCAACTAACTACGTTGATGTTCAACAAATACATCAGGAGTAGCAAGATGCCGCCGAGGTGGGGCCATCCAGTCGCTCAAGCAAGGTGTTCTGATGCCATCCAGACGCTCAAGGTGTTCTGATGTGCTTCACAGTGCTTTGGGAAGCTTCAAAGAAGCTTTCTAGTGGTGTCCGTGGGTACTTGAGCGCTTGCCAGGCCTACATTGATTGGGTCAACACCGGCCTGCCACAGACTCAGTTTTGACCTAGAACCTCGGGGAATACATGACTCAGAAGCTTAAGCCATTGAGGATCAGTTGGGTGTGAGCTTGTTGTTACTATACTGGCGAGTCACTCATCCTGTTATTCTGAATACATGGTCCAGAACATCCACAGCGTATAGACTGCCAAGCCATTCAATGAACTTGTGGGACGCAGGCAGTGTTTTGGCCAACACCATTCAACTATTATCAATTATTCAATATTGTATATAAATGTGCACACCAGGGAGCAAGGAGGCATGTGGTTCTATGTTTATTTACATGTCCATATTCAGGATCACCAGACAGGAATCTCAGGAATCTCAGCACACTCCCAACTACAAGCAGCAAACCATCCATCTAGTCCCCACCCCATCTCCCCGGTTGCCACCCAACGCCTTTCACGGAGGAACTGCCCCGACACCATCTTCGCCGCAAGCCGCGTCTTGGGCCCCACCCGACAAGGGATGCTGGGCCTCGAGGACGGTGCTGGGTGTGGAAGGCTGAGTCGGTGATCAACATGTTGTTTCATGTTTCAAGTGCCAAAGCGGTCAACTGGATTTTTTAAAGGGTTTTTTAACAGTCAGGATGAGGAGTTTAAGGAGTTTTGGGGTGTGTTCAAGTGTTCTGTTGGTGTGTTTTTGTCGAGTACATGCCTCAAAGCAGGACGCCCCCCGCCTGAAACAACATGACTATAGACTATAGCCATCAGATGATTATGATCATTCCACTCAGGCTTCGGATCCCGGTCATCGAAACTGTCACAGCCGTTGAAGCACATGCGGTGGTTAACAAAGATGTTCAAAGTGCAGAAGTGCTCTGTGGTGATGACTGACTCAGTCGCAACAGATAATGGCCGCTGCGTTCTCAGCGGAGCCACAGTTGGCTATAATGTCGATCTATTTGTAAATGAAGGAACCCGTTACCTGTCTGGAAAACTTCTTACGTATTTCATTTACTATCTCTTGATGTCTCGTGACGTGTAAGTAAACTGTCTTGGAAAGCTTGCTATGACTGCTTCAAGACACAGAGCCTCAACGGCTTTTGACATGCTTCGGGATGCTTTGGGTCTCCTTACTCGTTCAGCGCGCAGGACCGTGAACAGCTGAAAGCCTGGATGGAAGAAGGGACCAGCTGAGGATCTTTGCTGGGTGTTGAAGGACTTCAAAGCTGCAACACCCAGAAGTGGAACCCGGACCAACCAACACAGTCGTTCGAAGTCGCAAACTGAGCAGTTAGAAAGCCGTGACGGTAGTTTTAGAAGGTCGGTCCATGTTGCAAACCTTATAGGGTTTCCATGGAGTCTCCAAAAGCAGATGCAACAGTGGACGTTCGCCGTTCTTCCAAGCATCCGGAGGGCTCGACCGATCCCATCGTCATTGGGGGGATGATCTGTGTGGCGGCAACACAATCATCCATTCATGCGGTCGAATCACAACACCCAGCACGCATAGAGGCTTCGAGAGAGACCAAGGAAGCTTGAAAGCAGGAGAAAATCACCATGATTCAGCTACTAAGAGGAGCTGCCAATTGCTGTTCTTTGGCCGCTTCTGCTTTCCTTTGCTTTTCTTCAGTGCAGGCCATGTCTTTGGTGCCCAGCCAGTGCAGGCTACCCCCTGTGGCGCCCCGAAGCCCGTCAAGAGCCAAAGTTGCTCGACTCGCTCGACCTGTGGACATGCTCCACTGGGAACGCGCAACAAAAACGTGGGGAAGAAGAGGGAGGTGGTGCTTGAGAAAAGAAAGGGAGCAGGGTTTTGCAGACCAAAGGTAATTACCAGGTATTTCATGGTATTTCATAAGGAGGCAGAGCTTGACTCTAGGACCACAAAGAGGAACATGTTACATGTTCAGCAGTGTTTCCCCGACTCGTTCACTGCTTTGCCGTGTCCGCGCCACTCGTCCTTTAGAGAGGCAACGCAGGGAAGATCTTCAGGGCATGTGGAATAGCTGCTCAGCCCAGTCCAAAGGATCCACTTATTGCCTTGGGTGGAACCCTGGTGGCGCCAAAGAGATTATGTATGTATGTGTGATTGCCACATGATCCATATGCAGCCTATTGCAGCCTGTTCCGACTCTATCCCATAATAGCGATCCCATATGTCAGACGCCAAACATTTCTGGAGAGGCGCACTTGAGACACAGTCGCATGCCCATTTGGCAGGTGGGCGCCGCTCTTTGCAAGATGTATGCTTGCGCCGCACTTCAGCAACTTGAGGAGGCACGATGAAAGAATCAGCACAACGGTAAGCAGGTAATATCGGGACATCAAACAGAAGCAATAGGAGAACCATACTTTTGTCAAATGTAATATATAATGTTACGATGATGTTATGTTACGATCTTATATAATATATAATATTGATAATAATAGATATAGATAATGATCTTAAAAACCGTGAACTCTCCAGGTCTTTGATAGCAGGTGCAGTGTTCTTTATAATTATATGTGTGAGACAAGTTGAGCTGAGCTCTCTAAATGAAAAACACTTCAAAACCTTCTGTGGTGAATGATGTTGAATCGGAAGGTGCTTCGGGAAGTCGTTCGGTCAATGATCAGACTAGATATACTGTATAGAATACATATCTACGGTATCTACAACAAAAAGGTGATGCCGTGATGCTCAGAATCTCTTCCATCCGATGCTTCACCTCCACTCCGATCGGTGACGATCGCGTTTGAGGCGGCAGAGATGCCGGCGCCCCGAGGCAAAGAGAAGAAAGGCACTCGGCTCCTGGGTGGCCAAGTAGATGCATTCCTGATTGGAAGCAAGTTGGAATCTTCCTCCAGCCCACTCATTGCTTGATTGGCATTCCAGGTTGAACTGGTGGTGTTGAGCAGTTGGAAAGCAAGACTGGGCTTCCCAAGACTTTTGACGAAATGGAATTCAGTATTACTTTGTTAGTTCACCATCTAAAGGACTCCTGTGTCAGTGATTCGCCGGACGCATCAAGAGTTTGTTTGCAGTGCCAGGGAGGTCCTCTTAGGTCAGCCTATGAAGCCTGGGTCTCTTTGGCACGCCCAAGCTAATTAATGTGTTCAGAATTGTAAATCAGGTTCTGAGAAGTGATGTTCAGGTTCCATGTTGGCCTTCAGGGTATATATATAATAGTATAATATGTTGATCCCTGAAAAAAGATTACACAATTATATACGTACACATGTGCACTTTCCAGCATGGCTGTGGTACATCAATTTAATATGTGCATCCACAGCTATCTAGGCCCTTAGTCCCTTAGATGTTTCTGACCTCCTCTCGATCCGTGGTGCTTCACCGTCTTGAGAAAAGGGAGGCTGTACTTGCGGGACGAGTTGGTTCCTACATGGTAGCGGAGCCCTTCACGGACTACGATCTTTGAGCAGGTGATCCTCGAGAATCTCGAGACTATAGGAACCGACTATGTCGTCTTCTTTGACAAGGACCAAAGATGGGGTACCAGGTTGGAATGGGGATCCTTCAACCTGGTTAGAGTTCAAGCAGGCAGCCAGACTGTATGTCGCATCGACCAAGATCGAGTCTCGCTACACCTGTGGACCAAAAATAGCAGCAGAATTGAGCGGGGCTGCCAAGACCGCCATCATGGGGAAAAAGTCGCACTGGCTTAGTGAGGCCTCAGGGGTTGAGACATTGCTGAAACACCTCCAAGAGACCATCGGCGAACCAGCACTACCAGAGGTGGGCAACTTCCTCCGGCTCTACTTCAAGACCCTTCGTCGACAACGAGGAGAAAGCATGACCGCATTTTGCGTGAGGCATCGAGAAGAGTACGAGAAGATGTGTCGCTCCTTGGCACGAATGATGAAGGAACAAAAGAAAGACACCAAGTGGAGGCCTTCAGCAATGCCAAGCTCCTCACAAGCCACGGACACCGGCAGCATACAAGGGGGACAAGAGGGCCTAGGAGATCACCCTGGGCATGAAGTGACCAATCAACAATGGGGAAATAGTGAACCCTGGTCCAGTTGGCAAGACTGGAGCTGGTCCACTGGAGGGGGTTGGTGGTCACACCAGTGGTATCAGCAGAACTACCAGCACTCCAACTGGGGAACAACCTCGGGACTACAAGAACAAGACGAAGATGAACCAGTGGACATCCTACCAGATGCAGTACTTGGTTGGATGCTACTGGAGAAGTCGGGGTTAGATGGATTGGAGAAAAGCATCATCCAGGGGGAGATCAAAGGGAACTTCACTCTGGCAGGGGTTGAAAATGCTCTTCGAGCTCATTGGGGAGACGATGCCATCAAAAAGAGAGATGGAGAAGCCAAACACGCCCTATTTCATGAAGATCAACAAGAGGATGAACCATCACCTCAGGAAGAAGAAGAAGCCTACTTTGAAGGATGGGCGGAACACGAAATCGCCTGGTACCAAGAAGCCAAGAATGAAGAGCAAAAAGCATGGATTCAATTTCAAGGAGCAAAGAGGACTCTCCGTGAAGCCAGAGCCCGACAGCACGAAGTCAAGATGTCCCGGAAGTTCTACAAGACCTCCTATCCCATCGGGGCAGGAAAGAGCTTCCAAAACCGAGGCGCACCACCGACAAAAGGTCCATGCTTCCTATGCGGGGAACGAGGGCATGTGAAAAGTGAGTGTCCGAAGCGACAAAGTGCCCAGTACACCGAGGACAATGAAGAGGAACATGTACACTACACCTTCCACACGACCGAAGAGACACAGGAAGGGGAAGACCCGGACTTTGAACAGGGCAACAACTATGAGATTGACTCCGAGAAGGGTGACAACTACTTCCTCGAAGAGACCTATGGTGAAGGATCTTCAGAGCTTGAGCCAGGGGAAATCTTCCATGCGGCTAAAGTCTACATTAGTACTGAAGCCGCAGTCGACCAAGGCAAGGCCATCTTGGACGGTGGAGCCACCCGAACTATGGGATCTCTCTACGCTATGGAACGTTACATGCAAAACATGCAAGAGGCTCATGGCACGGATGGGGTCAAGGAGATCCGTACTTCAGAAGCTGACCGACCCATCTTCGGGTTCGGCAATTCACAAAAGTCCAAGTGCCTGTCGACTTGCCAGGTACAGCTGCCCAGCGAAGACAGATCAATGTCACTGCAGGTACACGTGTTGGAAGAAGGTCGAGCCCCAGTCCTACTTTCAGTGGACTCACTACGGAAGATGGGAGCCATCATTGACTTCAGAAACGACAAGGCAGTGTTCACCACAGTGGCACCACGATCGCTCGTCTCACTGGAACGTTCATCATCTGGACATCAGCTGCTCCCTCTGACGAGAGACTTTTTGAAGGAGGGAAAAGGCCTCCGGTTTCCTGTACGTAGCTTAGAGGATTTGATTTTCCGGCGATCTCAAACCGCCGCCACCGAAGAATAGGAAACCAAACTCAGCTCGGGAAAGCCTGTACCTGAGTGTGAGGAAAAGTTCAAAACAGGCAGGGGAGGTTTCTGCGTTCCTAATTCAGAGCAGTTAGAAGTTGGAAAGGTAGAGAATGGTGCGGTAGATCAGTCATTTCTGTCAAGCGTTGCTGAGCATTTTCCTTTTTATCACGCGGCATGGAGCCGCTGCTCAAGAGAGAGCCAACACCCACTGGAACAGGTGAAGCAGAACAAACAAAAACAGGACTCTCACGACCCGGTCGAACAAGCCGTCGCCAGCCTCGCTCAACCCGCAGCCATTTCTGTTGAACCGGATCTCTCGTGTGACCCAACTCGTGTGACTTCTCACCATGGCGCCCAAGAAGTACATCCAAACAGCGGCCGACATCGAGATGAAGCCTCACTACCAATGCAGCGCAGCCGAATGCAGGAAGGAGATGTCAGCAGCCGGGACCCCTCCTCACCAGGACCTCTCCATCTCGGAACTGCGGGTCATGTTGAGGGAGTCTCGCATCCGTCGAGGCCTACTCCAAGTGAAGGAACCGGGTCAAGACCAAATGGCACGGATCAAGAAAGCCAACAAGAGCGAACTCCAGGAGCTCATCAAGGCCTACCAGCTACCCTCCATGGAGAAGGCCACGGTGGGGGAAATGAAGTTGGCACTCCGTCAGGCCGTGATCGACGACTGCGATGGGGACACCAAGATCAGCTTCGGGAAACACCAGGGAGCGACTTTCATGGAGGTGATGAGCACCGACCATCAGTACGCCATGTGGGCAACCAGG